TATTAAAAAAATATTGTAATATATTATTACATATAATTTCTAGAATTTGTTGTAAAAATATTTGTGCAACGTTTTATTTATACATACGTTCTTGACACTAAATTAAATTATACTTTATTGTATGTAGTAAATATAGATTATTAAGAGAGTGCTCACCAATTGTCAGGATGGCCGAGCGGTCTAAGGCGCCAGACTCAAGGTTCAATTCCTTCTCGGTTCGAGACCGAGATCTGGGCATTCTGGTCCTCTCTGAGGGCGTGGGTTCGAATCCCACTTCTGACAAATATTTTTGTTTTTTACAATATATTAAGTGCTATTTTTTTTATCATTAATTCATAAATATGTAATATAAAGTATCAAGTTTATCGGAAAAACGTATTATTTTGAACGTTGTCAGTTCGAATCTCAGTATGATAATGATTTTTTTTGTTTCGTACTTGAAAGATTTTTTGGTAGATATTTATGATTTTATTTTATATAAACAGTATAATTATTTATTGTTATTAATGTTAAATATGTAGCATAAAACAAAACAATTATTCTATTTATTATAGAGTATTCACCAACAATAAAAATGTTAAAATAGTTTTAGAATAAATCATTAATTATTTGTATAAAAAATTATTATCTGTAAAACAAATATAATTAAAATATATAAAAATATAAATATATATTTTACTTTAACATATATACTAGTCATTGATTTAAGAAGATTAAAAAGTGTTCACCTCATCACTCCGGTATGGTCTAGTGGCTAGGATACCTGGCTCTCACCCAGGAGGCTCGGGTTCGATTCCCGGTACCGGAAATTTTTTTATATTTTAAATCATTTTTTTTACATGTAACAATAATTAAATTAGTTAGATAATATTAATTAATTTTAATTAATTTTAGATTTTTATTTGTAAAAGATAAATTATATAATTATTTAACACATTATATAATTATTTATAGCATACACTATAAATGTACACTTTTAAAACATTTTCTAGCAACAATGTTTTATTCAGCTAATACTGCCAACAAAATCATAGTCTTGTGACATAAAAACAAACGTAACATGTACCGCTATTGCTATAATCGTTTTGGTACAAAAAACACACATTGTTAAATTTTCAGTCAAGAGAGAAGTTTTTGTGTAAGTAGAAAACAAACAACAGAGAATTTACTTGATATGGACGTCAAATGCACTTTGAGAAATTGCCTTTTATCATAACAAAACAACTCGCCAGACACAAATGTAACAAATCGCGTCATGTCGTGTTGCAATATGATTGCTGCCACTTTCGTAAATTATTAGCAATGGTGAGAGAACGCACGTGTATTGCAACGAGCGTCTATAATTTGCAAAACGACAATACAATCACATCCGGTTTATCATGGACAATTTTCAGTACAGAAAGAAAAGGGAGAATGAATTCGAACCGTCGATAACGGGCACTTTGATATATACGCCGCTCGAGGAATCGCAACCCACGCGATTCGCAGATGACCTCCTGTATGCCATAACACCGAGTTCCCTATCGCTGTCACGAAGCAAAGTTGCCGTAGAATGCCACAAAGAACTGCTAGCAACTGTTTGAAACAGTTCCGGAAGATGAGTGCTCTTCACGTTGCTTATATGAAGTGAGAATCAGCTGCAAATATTATAGCGCGTGGATGTGATTCAACTGATTATTTTCACGTGTATTGTATAGATCATTTCGTTACAAAAAAACGTTTTACAAAATGTAATAAAATTTGTGTTGTGTATTTATAAAAGTAGTTTTATTAATAGTTTTGTTGATTCTTTTTGACTGTGAAATGGACTTTTTTTAATAAATATTGTTTATATTTATTTAGATATGTTGGTTTAGGAGCTGTGGACTCAAATTCATCTGCAATTTTAAAATGTTTGTATTATATGTACAACAAATTTGTTTTAATGAATATGCTGATTTTTATGATAACTCTATTGGCTGACATTATTTCGAGTTTTGACAATATATCAATTGTCACTGACGACGGTTGCATTTTCGCTGGAATTGTCGTCGTGTTCGCCAAAGTGATGATCTACCAAACTCGCCGCGAACAGATTATGCGATTGCTTCATGAGACTATGGAGGGCTGTCATCAACTTTGCAAGTTTCCTAGTGAGTAAAATTATTGTGGCTTTGTGTGTAAAAAATATTTGAGTTTTTTTATTGAATATTTAGACATACAAAGTCAAATATGACAGACAAATCGAGAAACTACGTGTTGCAAAATATCTTAATGGCGCACATTTATTATTTTCTTAAATAAATATTACGTCTCTCTATAATATAAAGAGAGTGGATGTCATATAAATAGCTCTTTAATGTTAAATCATACAAATACGTATCTCCTGTTGAGCAAATACGATGACAGGATTGCGCGTAATTTCACATTTAATGAGATCCGCTTGTCAAAAGGGACGCTGCGAAAGGGCCGTCCGTTCGACTTCTCTGTTAATTCAAGGACTCGAATAATAATTTTTTCCTTCGGTCTCTGTCAATCTTTTTTGCAATGTATTTTCCTTGACACGCGATTAAAGATCTACGCGCTCATTCATGCAGCATTACTCGGCACTTTGCATAATTACGTCATAGTTGCAACTACGGAGACGCGTGATGTTTCTTTGAAATTCTATATCAAGTTTCGTTAAATTCTAATATCGTATTGCGAAGATGTAGGACGCACGTCTACATATCAGAATGCAACCAACGACACTGATCATGAATTGTGAATATGACTTTCCTCTCAAGTGTTAATATCTTTTCTTATTTGTTGATTATATTTAATCATTCATGAGATATGTTTATTTATTTGCAAATATAATATATAAGAAATTTGTATATGTCGAATTTTTTCTGATTTCTATTTTAATTAATTTAACCAGTTGGCGGCGAAGAGAAGATCTTAGATAAATACTTTCAACTCGGCCGTGTAACATTTTACGGATTCAGCATGTTGGGCTTCTTTCTCGTGATCGCCTTGTTGTTTCTCGTTCCTGTTGAAGATGGCGCGCTTCCGGTCAGAGCACTGTACCCTTTCGACACGACTAAATATCCGTGGCACGCAGTCGGTTTCTTCGTGGAAGCCTGCGCCGTTTCTATCGGAATTACCGCTATTATAGGAATGGACAGCTTGCACACTAATCTTTGCAATCTGTTCCTTGTGCAACTCGAGATCTTGAACATGCATTTTCAGAACTGTAGCGGCGACGCTCTTATCGATAGACAAGTCTATTTAGACGTCACTGAGCGAAGCTATGCCTGCTACGGGATCTTTTCTAAGGATAATTATGATCCGGAAAAAATTTGCCACAGCGGTTTTACTAAGGTATACAGAAGATCCATCCGCAGTCATCAACGTCTTCTTGCCATAATAGACGACTTCAATGAGGTGTTTAGCACTGGCATGTTCATTCAAATGCTCTCGAGCACTTCGATGATTTGCCTAACCGGCTTCCAGGCCACCTTGGTAAGTCGTGATAAGTCAAAGTGCCGTCACGGTCAAATCGTGATCAGTGACTTCGCTTTGTTTCGACCAGGTCACAGATCAGAGCTCCAACATCTGCAAATTTACAATCTATCTGGCGGCGGCCGTCTCGCAGCTCTTTTACATCTGTTGGGTGGGAAACGAGGTGATGCACCAGGTACGATTACGTGTACCACAAGAGAAACTTTTTCTACTAATACTAATTTTTCATTTTTCTAAGTTATTGCTATTTTCAAATTATAAAACAAATGTCGTAATTTTAATTTATGATTGTTTATATGTCACATAAAAATAGCATAATCACGATAAAAATTTAAAACAAATCAAGTTGATAAAAAAAAGTCATATTTTAATATATGTTTGTTTCTTTGTAATTAACAGTTTATAACCACTAACGCAATATAATATAAATACACAAGTATTAGCGATGTATGCTATTACTCAGAAATTTATATTTTATATAATTAATGCTTTGACGTAACACAAATTTAAAATCTTGTAGAGCGCGTCGTTGACGCAAAGTCAATGGCTTTCGGGATGGAGCGACAAGCTTTCCGCTAAGACCGGACGTCTATTAATACTATCCATGATATTTTCAAAGAAAACATTAAATCTTAAGGCAGGTCTGTTCTACGTCTTATCTATGGAGACGTTTATCGCGGTAAGTATAAAAAATATAACGTCAAAAAATACAACGAGATGACCTTTCGTATCTTCAGGTATCGGTTAAATATTATAATACTTATAATATTTTTCATAAGATATCAGCTAATTGCCATAATTAAGTGAAATTAAAACTGAAAATTAAAATTTTGCTCGATTAATGTTCCGCAAGTGAGATTGAATTTATAGAGATCGTAACATGTTTCAAGCAAACTTTCGAACGTTACCTAAACAAGCTTAGCAAGATATTAGTAAAAAATACATGATTTATACAATTTCAATAAACCGAACATATTACTGGACGTTAATAGCTTTAAGTTGTATCAAAACGAGTTATCGTGCACGTGCAACGCACCAATATTTTTTTACTTAATTGCTATGTATTTGCACGCGTGTCGATCTCGCTTTTCTTTGCCTGCGGCAATTTGATTGCGAGAATATATGAAACGAAAAGAGAACGAAATCTTCGCAAAAGCGGCCGTTATGAATAAGATTTCAGGAATTTAGGAACAGGAAGAGCAAAACGTGTTTTCTCGCACGCGCGCTGAGAGGCAAGCTACATACATATCTCCGCCTATTCAACAACCACGTATTAAATTAATGTTCGCGCGATAATCCGTCGTAACAAAATGCCTAGAGACATTGTCAGGTACAAGCTCTTAATGGTCGAGCGCAAACTTATATATTCGAATAACTTTTCTTTCTCATACTTCAAGATTATTCAAAACACGTAGGAATCAGAAATACATTGTTGCTTACGATGATCGGTTAATTAGAAAAGGTGATGACGTTAATTACTAGCATAGATTATCCGAACAAATTTCTTGTAACACGTTGTTTTTCGGTGCTTTTGTAAGCCTCGCCGTGTGCGATTGCGATATTGGCGATTTTATCACTCACACGCGCGCGTGTTTTACAAACGATCGACCGATCGATCGATTTATCAGAATATTATCGATGATTTTTCGTAGATCTTGAAGGGCTCGTACTCCTTCTTCGCTCTGCTGAACACCATGCACTCAGAAGTCGATCATTGAATCCAACAACCTCATGGCTCTAGTTTATCGTGTAATGCTACGACGTCTGAAGTTAAAACATTTTGTTGCGATGTATACTGAAACGACAAATTGAAAACCAACATTTTAATGTGCTTTAATGATCGAGAGGGTGTTATTATGATTATAATGCTTATAGAAAATGTAAAACTGAATATTATCAAAATATAGTTTGTTCTTATTAAAGTATATATACACACTCACGTGAACATATTGTGTGTTAATAGAATAATATATTAGAAATATATTATATAGAATATATACTCTGTTACATGTATAAAAAGTGTTAAAAGTTTATTAACAAATGAAAAGAATAGGTAATTTGGTAAATTAAGAAACGACATTAGTAAAACAATATTGATATCATTCTCCGATTAATAATAAACAAAAATATAGTGAATTATACAAAGCAACTTATTTACCGTAAGTTAGATACATACCTATATATACAGAACGAATCGAATGTTGGCTATACGCGGAATTCGCGGGATATCTTGATCCACCGACTGGTCAGTGCTAAAATCACCGTAAGACTGTCCAGAGAACAGGTTGGTATCAACTTTTACGATTATGAATCCGCCGAAAACAGGATTCTCGGATCGCAAAAACAGGGCTGAAACGACGACCGGTCAATTACAATCGTAGCCTCCAGATTTGATCGCCGCCGGCTGTCACAACGGTTTGAAATATCGAATTGATAACGATCAAGACTTGTACAGTTGAAAACTCGGCGTAGAGCAGTTGTTAGATACACAGGAAGCAATTGCTCTTATTTTTCTTATGATTATCTTAGAGATTATCAGAAGAGATCATAAATGGTGAAATTTTCTACCGATTTAAATTTATCGATATCATCTTTATCGTTTGTAAAGCGGGAAAACAAGTTTAGATAAGTAAGATTGAACGATTTAGAAAATTAATAATATTTTGCCTATTTAATCATTAACGAGAGAGTCAGATTGATCAAACAAATTAATAATTAACAAATTAATTTGTTGATTATTTGTTTTGCGAATACAAAATCTACATTGAAGAATGAAGCAGCTCAATGTGTTCAAGATTTTCTTTTCTCATTGAATACTTTAAAGTGACCGATTACGACAAGGTTAAAGGTTTCCATAATCGAGCGCATGATAAACACATAATTCACGTTCTACCAGCAATCGCGAGAACAAAAATCGGTATAAAAATTGGCTTTCCTATCGCGATTCCGTTAGCCAATTTATCTCGCTGCGTTTTCCTAAAGTGGATCTCGTATTTTTTGTCGCTTGTCAATCGAACGTTTCATGCAAGCATGTCGTAAAATATTAATAAACGACAGGATAGTTCGTCGCACGAAATATTCCGATATAATCGCACGTATGCGAGATCGTTGATTAGATTCTTAATTAACTTCATTAAATACTCAAACTTACTGCGCGCGTGTAAAAGAACTTAATTAATCGCCGATTGTAATGCGCTTAATTAAGTATTTGCGTGGTAGTCGTGCGCGCATGCAGCCGTTCCGCGACTCGTTGATAATCTCTGGTAACTTTCAAAAATCATGCAGATCTCTGGAAAATATGAGATACGCTTAATTCTTGGTTTATACAAATATAAACGAAATACGAATATATATACGAAGATTTGCTAATTTGGTCAATTTTCTTGGACGATGATAATATATTCTTCTGTAAAGACAGAATGGTAGAATACAACTTTATAAGTTGTAAGCATAAGTTGCAAGCACTTTGTAAGTTTATTCTATGATAACATGAAAAATGCAAGCACAACATCGGTCAATTAACTTGTATGACGATGATATATAGCATGAGCGTTGGTTAAGTCGTTTGAAACATTGTTCTATAAATATGCTGTTAAATATTTTTGTACCTCCGCATGATTAAAATAAATATAAATGTAAATCACTGTAGCGAGAAAACATTCAATAGTCAATAATATAACATTGTATATAGTAATTATGTGATTAGTTAACGTCGATAAACAATAATGAGAAAAGTTTAGATTTAAAAGCGACAAAAAGCGATTCTAATTCAGACACGTTATATTTGATTGTCGGAATACACAAAGCTCTTAATTAATATTAAATTAAACGTAAAACAAAAAAATTTGGAAAAATTGAACTTTTGAACACGTTACGTACGTATATCTATATTTTCAAGCCGATGACTTGATTCTTCTTTTCTTTCTTTTGCAATCAATCGCTCTTTTAAAGAAACTGAATTTAACATTTATGTCTTGTGTGTGATCCATTCGATGAATCTTATCTATACAGTATGCACACATTTCAAATCGATCGAAACACTAAAGCTCGTAAAGCGGCGAAGGTAACGCCGGTAGTTCCGTCCATCAATGTGAGATACTTAACGTTTTGCGCAAGGCAAAATAGGCATACGCCTTCATAGTTCGAACCAGTCATAATGGTTTATCTCGCACGTGGAAAGAGAGAAAGAGAGAAGGCGAAAAAGAGAAGGTAAAGCATCAGAAACGAGAGACGTCGTTCCTCTCTTCACGGAACTTTCTCGACCTTCCTCGCAACTTATGCGGCGCTTGCTTCCTAGACAGATGGTCGCTTTGCCACATGTTACCTAACTGTAGCCTGTCTTTAAATATCATTTCTCCTGGTGGTATCGAATACTTTGTGCTGGAGATCATTATTGTATAGCATCGTTTGGTTAATGTTACGTGATGCGAGCGCGTTGCGTTTGCACCAAGTAGAAACGTTAACAATGAAAAAAGCGCGACCGTTTATAAGATCAAGTCGGTTTTTATCTTTAGAAAAAATAATATTTATAAAGAGATATATGTTAAAATTTATGTAGATTAACTTACACACAAGTGTTTAGACTTTTTATTATTTATAATTTATCACAGAGAGAAATTCCGACTCTCTCAAATTATACAAAGTAATCGAAGATCGATGTTACTTTTTAATTTAAATACAAACAAGAGTATCGATCTACACAAACGGTTAATGTGTTTTAAAATAAAATTTCTCAGAGATACGAATCTGTCGTTACTCGATCAGCTAACCAACATCGTTTCAGTGCGCGGTAAACCATCATAGAGATGTGTTTATTCCAGACTTTCTCTAATTTTATCGTATCGTATATTTTATCTTTTCGCTCCACATACAAGTTGCACTCTCGTCCCCCATAATCACAACTAAACTGGTATGCATATTTTACGATTCGTTAATAATCCAAAGTCAATTTACATACCAGGAAACCTCACGTGCTCTTGTCCCGTTTTGCTGGATATTAGCGGAATATGTCGGAAAACCGCGAGCGCTGTCGAACGACGACAAAACGATCAACTAGATCGTAACAAGTGTTTTACGACCCGTTTTTACGCTCTGATCTCCGATAATTAAGCGTGTACTGTGCAGGGCGGATCGCATTAACGGGACACCAGAAAGCGTGGCGGAGATATCATAGTCGAAATTTTAATAACGGTTAATAAAGATTACTTATGACAAAGAAAAAATGCTTTGACTTGAAAGGCTTATGAATTAAAAGTCCGGTACGTGAGCGTATACGCGCACAATTTTTTACTTTATCTTATACATTTTATCTAACGGAGACACAAATCCAGCAGCTGAACCGTTGTTGGTCGTTCGTACTGCCGCGTTCCTTTAAAGCGGTTCAACTCCAAAATATGTGACCATAGTACTCTTTTTCATACTCTTTTTACGCTGGTCGCATCTTTCTTCATTCGCTTCCTCATTTCCGTCGTCTGCAAGCGCGATTTTTTACACATGTGATAATTTCGTAAATTTACTTCAAAATTGCACTTTTCTATTTAAAGTAAGAGAATGAGATTTTTTTAGTCGCGTTATTTTGTTTAAAGATAACATGGAATTTCAACATGGAATATCTCAAGCGGTACGATTGTTGAATGTGTCGATTGGCCAATTTACAAAGACAAGATATTGGCGTGAT